AGAAACAAAGAACCAAAAGACAAGTATGAATATCTCCAGGAGTGCTATGGTAAATGAGTGAGAATAAGATTTTTCTTTAATTGGAAACAGATAACAAGTTGATTATTCAACTAAATATTAACACTAGCTGAGACCATGGGAATCACTTACCCTCCCTGAACCTATCCTTTTTCTTGTTTAAATGAAGATATTTTATTCTATTATTTTTATTATTCTAAGATAAAAACCATATGGTTAAGCAACAGAAAGCACATCTAAAGTTCATAGGTTTCTGTTCATTTAAATTCTCTTTGTGAGATTTATGTATCTAATTATGACTTTCTTTCAGAATACTTAATTTGGTTTTTGAAACCAAGTCTGTTCAGAATTTTTTTCTTTTTGTTTTTTTTTTTTTTAAAGGGCAAATCATGACAGTGGGTTATATATAATTGTAAATAACCATACTAGACTAAGCAACATCATACCACAATTTAACCAAACACCATGTAATTTTTACTGCAATGGCTTTTTCTAAAAGTTTTAAGATATTCAACTCATTTCTATGACATATATTTAAGGAAGGCAAACTACACCCAAAGTGCGAGGTAGCTAGTCGGACATGAGTGAAATGGGGAACAAAAGAATAAGGGTCCAGCCTAGAGACCACCCAAAGAACACTCCAATGTAGTAGAAATCTGGGTAAGTGCACACGCAGTAGGCAGAGTTATATAGCAGCCAAGTGTCAACCAAAATGACCTCACATGCCAATCACCTAACCACCCATCAAGGCCCTAATGTAAGAAAGACCTCTTCTTCTTCTGGTCTTTGTTGTCTCTGTGGTCTTTGGTTGGTTGTTGTGACAGTGCTGGTTTACAGCTCCTCACTGAAATCATGTGCCTCCTTGGAGTGTGCTTTGTCTTTCTAAAAACACCTGGTCGTCTTAGGTGGTCTCCCATCCAAGTACTAACCAGGCCCAACCCTGCTTAGCTTCCGAGATCAGATGGGGTTGGGCTTGTTCAGGGTAACATGGTCATTGACTAAAATATACTTTTAATAAATTTTTCTAAATCTCTCTGACCTGTGATTCTTCACTGCATTAATGAGGAAGAACTGAGGGAAAATGCTAACTACACTTCTGGGCCGTTATCCCCTACGCCCACGTGCTGTTGTAACGCCGAAGTTCAAATCAGCCCAACGGTAACACAAGGATCGAATTCAGTCTGCTGTTCATTTTTGCATATCAAATCTTATTGAAACATACCCATGCCCATTCATTTGCGTAATGTGTATGGCTGCTCTACAGTGGCAGAGCTGAGTAGTTAAAAGAATATATCCGACATGCAAAGCCTAAACTATTTACTATGTGGCCCTTTACAGGAAAAGAAAAATGGCTGACCTTGGAATTATACCGTCCTTGTGAACTGATTTTTCAAAAATTAGGATTCTTGCTTAAATTTTATTACAGTTTATGGAGGAATAAAGTAAATAAAAACCAAATACTTAAAAATGAGTTTTCAAAATATAAATTTATAACATAATGTGTGACTGCTTATCATGTGAACTTCATGGGACTTTCTTAAAAATTAAAATGTAATTTCACACATTGAAATACCTAACTGACAAAAAATGTGGTTATTTAATTTTTTAAAAATGTTTTACTTTTTAAAAAAAAATTCTCATCTTGATTAACAGATGTTGGTTGATAATTTCAAACACAGAGAAATTAAGGTACAAAATTTTAATAATATGAATTATTAAATGATTTTTATTAGCAGTAGAGACATAAAAAAATTATACTTTCCCCTTTACAGTAGCTTTCTGTAAATTTTTGAACTTTTTATTAAAGTATAGCATGAACATAGAAAAATGCATAAATCAATAAATGTACTGTTGAATGAAGTTTCACAAACTGAACACACCAATGTAACCAACATTCAGATTAAAAAATAGAACACAAGTCTACAGCCATGCTACCCTGAACAAGCCCAATCTCGTCTGATCTCAGAAGCTAAGCAGGGTTGGGCCTGGTTAGTACCTGGATGGGAGACCACCAAAGAAGACCAGGTGTTGTAAGCATAAAAAATAAAAAAATAAGGGATTGTAAACTGACAATGTCCTTGCAATCTGTGAGGTCAACCAAGGGTTGCCTTGCCTAAAAAATTATACGCGCACACACGCGCGCACACATGCACACACGCACACACACATGCGCGCGGTTTATTTCTAGTCACAAAATGATTTATATAACATAGAATCACTGTTCAGACTTCTAAGAGTTTACAAAAAGATAATATAAATTAAATTTTTATTAATTTTATTATATTTTATAAGTTATACTAAATATTCTTCTAAAATATCTGGTGCTTTGAGATAAATAGATTATTTCAAATTTTTCCTATGCCATCATGCAAAATTTAGAAGAAACTAAAGATTTTAGAAGACTAGATAATCATAAATTATTTTAATAACAAATTTAATATGTGCCTAGATCATAGGCCATTGGAAGTGATGAGGGAAGAGTTAAATCGTAATAACAATAAAAACCACTTTGGCTCAGTTAAACAAAAATGCTGCTATTTATTTATAATCACAAGTTTCTTTTACATTGGCTTTGGGCTCATCACTCATCCCATGCAGTACTGTTATTAGTGCCTGCAGAATAGTGAATAAACATCTAAATGTTTGTGTTATGACCCTCATCCAGCTTGAAAATTGCCTTTTCTTCTCCTGTAAACTTAGCTCCACAGTGCTACCTATACATATGTTGACATACATCTGATTAAATATATAATCATTGTAGTGTCACAGATTGCATGGTTTCATGCTGTTTGTAAATGTTCACCACAATCATCAGTCTAACACATAATCAGTGCTTTTATTGTTCATATGCAATAAAGGTTTTTTTTACCTATGTTGGTCAGAAATAATAACTAAGTTTGCTTGCTTTTTTCTGTTTACTTTTACTCTTAAAAGTCAATCTTCTACTTTTTAACTTATCCTTTTCTGTGGCTGAATCAATTGATATGATCGTAAGTGTATAAATTCTGAAATACTCTACACTGAATGTAATAAACATGGAAGAATCATCTAAAATGCTTGGAAATGATAAGCACTCAATAAGCTATTTGTTTCATGGGTCCAGAGGTAATTTTATAACTAGTTAAAAGTAAAGACTTAACTTTGACAATTTCCAGAATTATCTCAAATTAAGTCATGTATTTTTGGCTGGATTAATTTAGCACCATTAAAAAACAAATAAGCAAGTAAACTTTTAATAAGAGTTAAGTAGAATTATCTCTTAGGTTTGTGTATGTAAAGAAAAACAAAAATAAGAAAACAATTAGCCCAATTATTCAGGAAAAAATAGAACATGTTAGGTCTGAATAGTTATGTCAGTATTTCCTAGACTATCTTGTAAGGAATATATGATTTAATGTATAAATATTTCAATATATGCTTACATCTTGCTGTACTATAAACCTAACCTTACACATAGGCTCAGATATCACACCAGAGTCTAGACTTCCCTGTGGCAAAGATATAACACTGCATTTTGAACTTCCATGTATACTAGAATAAGTGGCAGAGTAAACTGATCTTTGTCAGAGAAAAGACTCAATAAAATTCTGATAATCCTAAATTTACCTAGTCCAATGATTTTCATTCAGAGAAATAAGTCCCCTTGTGTTTGGAAAGATATCATAATTCTAGCTCACAATCTGTTTAATTGAAAGTAAAAAAAAAAGTTGTGTAATAGGCAAAATAATCTTCCATAAAACTATCTTATCTGATTCAAATAATAAAGTAGATGAAATATTAAGTGTCCCTGAAATGACATTTAGTGAGACAGAGGAACAAACTATTGTGGAGGCAACAGTTCACAGCACCAGTTGAGTTTTTGTCCTGAGTTGATGTCACTCTTTTTACCTTCCATTCTACTCAGAGCCCCATGAATTTCTGCACATAGAAAGATTTGAAATGTCCCAGGGTCATTTTGAACGAAAAAATAAAATAAGACCCAGGGTGAATTTCCACCTACGTAATAGGCTGATGTTATTACTGATGAGAATGTTTTGAAACAATCTAACTCTTATTTTGCATACGTGAGCTTAAATGTTAATTTCTGTGGGTTTCTTCACGTTTGGGAATTGAAAATATCAAAGCTTTCAAATTGAGAGGTTCATGACCAAGAAAACAATATCCAGTATTGGTTTAAATAAGATAAGACTTGAAATAAGTAATAGATATTGCAAACATATTTATAAACTCAAACTCTTCAAAAGTTGAACAAAAAAATATAGGATTAGAGACAAGAAAGGGGTCAAAATAAAGGTATTATCTTATACGAACTAAGGACAAATAAGGAAGCTGGCTCTTTACTACTCAGTCAGATTCTCAGAAGATATTGCTGTCATTTGAGACAAAAGAGGTATTCATATTATATACACTTTTTGAGAATTTTCAGCAAAATTTTGCATTGGAGGTTATTATCTAGTTTGCAGAGACAGGAAATAAATTGAAAGTTTAGAATATTAGGCTAACTGACATAAAGAGGTTATCATAAACACATGCTGAAAAGCAGTGATGTCTCAACCTAGAAACTTTATTAGGAAAAAAGTAACCACAGAAATTGTCCTCAGATAACTCTCTATTTCTTAGTTTGAATATCTGAGGTAGTACCTTGACTGCATTTGTGTATGGGCACATACTTGTGCACAAATGCTAACTGATTACATTCGTGACATTAATGCAATTTTATATTGTAGAAAACAATGCCTGCCTAAACAAGATCTTTCACACATTTCATCTTACATTTATTCTGCATTTTTTCCTTTAACATCTCAGGCCACCTTCCAACCCTCCATGCACTGAGTACTATATATTTCTCAATATAGCTCTTCTTCTGGAGCTGAACAACCTAGTAAAATATTTTAAAGTGACTAGTAGGAGATTAAATTTACCCATGAAATGGTAATCTTCAATAGATTTAGCTCGAATCAAGTTTAGCTTTTAAAATTTACCTTAGGACATGTCTGCTTATGTGAGACTCATCTACAGCCTGCGGCATACGTATGTGGCTTCATTCGATGTCAGTGCACAGGGAGAGAGGCTCTGGATCTGCTGGGCCAATCTAAGAGAATGGCATAATTTCCAGGAAAAGGTTCCTGACTTATCAAAATTCCTCTATCCAGCCGTTCTCTCTTTTATCCCTTAATTCGCTGCAAGTAATATGTAACCAATTTGAAATAAGCAGTACTTACAAACATCTGAAGTTACATCAAGCTCTCAGGATACTAACTGTAATATAAATCAGCAAATTGTTTTCTTCTGAGAAAGAAAAAGTTTAATCTACTAATGGGTGGATCTCATTGGCTAAATGCCAATAAAAATTTCAACTTCTGGTTTTATGCATTGCCACCTACAACCAAGGCTAATATAAAAGTTTCTATGGGTGAAAGTACCTGGGAATAAGTAAAAAACTAAATAAAAATTAATTTTGAGGATAGAAAAAATGATTAAGTAAGCATCACATTAATTCATTTAGATATTTTTTCTAGTTTAGAAATAATTTCTCATGTTGGAGCATATACTATTTGTGGCTCCATATTTAAACTTTTTAATTAATAAAATTTATTTTTAGAGCAGTTTTAGATTTACAGAAAATTTGAGCAGTGAGTACTGAAATTTCTCTTATAATCCCTGATCCTCTCTCACAGTTTGTCTTATTGTTAACATTTTGTAGTACTGTGGTATATTTGTTTCAACTGGTGAGCCAGTATCAATACAATATTAGTGACTAAAGACCAAAGTTTACACTAACATTTCATCTTTATGTTGTGCATTCTATTGGTTATAGCAAAAGTGTAGTGATATGTATTCATCATTACAGTATCATACTTAGTTGCACCATTCTAAAAATACCTTGTGCTCAATCTAGTCATCCTCCTTATTTTTCCCCCAAACCCTGGAAACACTGCTCTTTTTACTATCTCAGTAGTTGTTTTCTTTTTTTTTCCCTCAGCATGCAATATAATTAGACAGTTATGTAGCCTTTTCAGATTGGATTTTTTAATTTAATTCTTTAATGCATTTAAGTTTCCTTCATGACTTTTTGTGGTTCGATAGCTCATTTATTTTTATTGTTGAATATTTCATTGTATGGATATCCCTCAACTTGTTCATTAATCAATGAAGGACATCTTGGTTGCTTCCAAGATATGGCAATTGTGAATAAAGTCACTATAAACATTTATGTGCAAGTGTTTGTGTGGTCAGACATTTTCATCTCATTAGGATAAATACCAGAAGCACAATTGCTGGATCATATGGTAAGACTATGTTTAGTTTTGTAAGAAATTATGAAAGTGCTTTCCAAAGTGACCATCTCACTTTAAATTCCCACCAGCAATGAATGAGAGTTTGTTTCTTCACATTCTTGTCATTATTTGGTACTCTCTCTGTTGTGGATTTTAGCCATCCCAATAGGTGTATAATGGTATCTCCTTGTTTTAATTTGCAATTCCCTAATAACATATGATGTTGAGCATCTTTTTATATGTGTGTTGACCATCTGTATATGTTCTTCGGTGAGATGTCTGGTGAAATATTTAGCCCACTTTTTAATTAGGCTATTTGTTTGGTTTTAGAAAATCTTTATATATTTTGGATATAGTCCTTTATCAGCTTTATGTTTTGCAAATATTATCTCTCAGTTTGTGGCTTGTCTTTACATTCTCTTAACAGTGTACTTTTCAGAGCAGAAGTTGTTGGGGTTTTTTTTAGTTAATTTTTTTTTGGTGCTTTATAGTTTGGACTTTTGATGTTGTATCTAAAAAAGCATTGTCAAACACATGGACACCTAAGTTTTCTCCTATTTTTATCTTCTAGGAGTTTTATAGTTTTGTTTTACACTTAGGTCTATGATGTATTTTAATTTTTGTGAAGAATATAAAGTCTGTGTCTAGATTCACTTTTTATATATAAATATTCAATTGTTCTAGCTGTATTTGTGAAAAAATTATCCTTTCTTCTTTGAATTTCCTTTGCCCTTTTGACAAAGATCAGTTGACTATATTTACGTGAGCCTATTTCTGGATTTTCTGGATACTCGGTTCCATTGACTGGTAGCATATTTTTATGGTCAGTATTTTTTTTTTTTTACTTTCTGTTTTATTGTATAACACTGTACACTGATAAGCAAAATTATTATTTTTCTTTTAAAATTATTTTAGGTTATGTATATTTTTAAGTGATTAGCCAGAAGCGACTGTGTTCTGTTGTTCTTTTTTTTAAGTAAAAAGGCATGATTTTCTTGGGAAAAATAGTATTTACTAAACACAGATCAACTTTACAGAAAATCTTGAGACTTATCAAATCCAAAAAGAGATGTGTGTAAATAAAGATATTTATATTCAGATACATTGACTATGTTATAAAATAATTTAAAATAATGACTTAAATTTGTGCTTAATAATAATAATAATAATTAAAAGTTATTAAACTATCATTAGGTACATGGAACTTTTTTGTTGTTCTTTAAGAATATTTTTCCTAGTCAATGGGTTTCCAACATTTAAAGTCATAGATATTCGATAATGAATAAAAATCTATATGTATATATGAAAGCATTTAAATATATCCAAATTTATATATACAATTTACAGATTTGATAGTTCTTTTGAAATATATTCATGTATCTTAAGATCAGAAGCAATCGGACCAAGCCCTCACAAAGTGTATTTTCAGAATTTAACAAGTTATCAGTTAGCATTAAGTGATTTTCTGATTTCCGTAGTCAAATAATGTTTAAATGTCTAGTTCAAACAAGTTAAGGCTTTTCTAAGGTAGTACTCCTCAGACTCAAAAATATATTAATATACATTGTAGCTATTTAAAAGGAGTATATAGTATATAGCACTTAAAACATTTTAAAATGGAATCATTTTTCCCCTTCCTTTCTTTGTGCAGAGCAACTTGTAAGACTAGTGTTGCCAGAATATTCTTTGGAAAGCATTGAGCTATTCTAATACTCGATAATGTCTCTAATGAAGCAATTGTGTAAAATTAGCAATCACCCTAATAATCTTTCTACTTTCTATAATCCTTTAGTGTTTCTAGAAGTACTTCAAGTTTTACTGTATCTTAGGGCAACAGTGGCATTCGAATTGACTATCCAAGATTCCACGTGGTGCCCTGGAGCAGGTGATCCTTGAGGATGACTAGAGATTTAGGTTTGAACACAATACCACTGAGGTAGCCTAGAGTTTGCCCAATGCCTCAAAAAATGGACTTAGTATAATTTCATTACATTCTAATTTCTTATCTTATACAGAACCTTCTCTTGATCCTTCAAGTGGCATATATTCTAACATTCCTACTTTGTTAGTACAAAGACTCAGAGAAAAGCCCCCAGACTGAAAAATCTTCTTCTCTAAGCAGAAGGCAGGGAAAGATGGAAGAAAGAGGCTAGCCACTCCAGTCTGACAACTAAAAGAGTTTATTGGGGAAACTAACATAGAAGTTGTGTCTTGGGTGGCTGCAAGAAGAAGACAATATTCTCTGCACCACTTGGCAGGCGCCAAAGAACTATGTAGAGTAAAGGGAAGGAAGAGTCACCAGTACTGGTACATGAATGCTATGAGGTATTCGGGAAATTACTTTCCATGCTTGACCAGATCAAGACAATGGCCCGTTCCGGGAACCAGCGTGTAGCAAGAGGCAGGCATTTTGATTTATTTCAGAATGAACATCAATCATGATCAGTCTTTAAGGGGGCTCTGTAGTAAGCAATTTCTGTTCTGGTCTGGGTCCAGCTCATGGGACAAACAGCAGTCATGTCACGAAACAGTCTCTCCTCCACATACTCCGATCGGCAAGTTGTATCTCTTCTAACAATCTTTGTTTAATTGAAAGAGCATTTATTATTTTTCTATCCTCTATGAACTTCTGTCATATCATTCAAGTTGTCTGTTACAGTGTATATCTTTTTTCTTCCTATGCACAATATCAATTTAGAAATAAGATTAAGTTTTCATTTATTCAGTTCTTTTAACCTTATGTCATTCATTCAACATCAGTGTTTTCTTTCTGAGATTTTGAGCTCCTAGTTAGAAAATGCCATATCGACTTAGCTTGGCTTTTGGAGCAGTCAACATTTTAACGTACATATTTAAGCAATTTATTATAAAAATATCTTTAAAATATATAATGTTTGCCATGCCCCCCAATACTTCATGAGGTATTAAATTTATTTAGATAGCTTCCAGTTGTGGTGGCTGAAAATTATCCTAAGATAATTTTTCAAGTTCACAGGCAGACACTGAGGAGTTGCTTATTTTCAGACGCTTTTTTAATTTTATAATTTTTAAGCTGAAAATTATTTGGAAAGCTAAGAAATGGGCCCAGGCTTTACCTAGGGAGAAAAATCTGCAGAAATAGTTTAAGAATATTAGGAGAAATAAAGATCCTTTTCCCCCTCCTGCCCTGTATTACATTGTCAGGAATCCATCAATTCAGCTAAATATGTTTCCCTTTTAAAATACATATGATGCCTGATAGATTTGTTTCTTGTGTATTTAATGTGTCTCTGTTGGTTTACCTCCTTATCTCATTCAAGAATTCTACAGTCCTTGATATTTCTTTTGAACGTTTAAATACAAGTAAAGCAAAGTGTGCATTAAATAAATTTTTGAATGAATGAATGAATCCTTGCCAGCTAGCTGAAATGAAAGTTATTTGAGAATATAAATGTTGAAATGTAAGTAGCAAAAGGATAATTTTGACTTGGATGAGATGTAGCAATGCAACATGAAGGCACTGAAACTTCCCCCACCTAAAAAGAAGCAAGTTTTTGCTCTGTCACAGTGGTTTGGACAATTACTGCTAAATAAATGTGTTTTAGAATATTTTATGTCAAAATAAAAATCTCAAGTTTATCATATTATATTAATAAAGATAATCATGTAGAGAATCAAGTGTAACTGAAATTAGAGTACAAAGGAAATGAGAAAATTTGGGAGAGAAGAATTTCAAACATGTGAATTTGTTTTGTTCTAAGAGCTTTGGAGAGTTCAGGAGCAGGTGTTTCCATTGGTTCTCTATCTCTTGCCTTTAGTTATCTATCAGACTTTTAAAGTGAAATACATCACTTTAAGATACATAATAAAAACCCTCATTTGAATAATAATTCAGGAATTAGAAAGAAATATGTAATTGGACAGATCTTGAAAGACATATTTGAAATAGATGTTGAAATTGCTTAAGTTACACAAAATATGTCTATAAATGATAAATGTTTTCAACAATGCCTTCAGTATATAAATAAGTTTTTGGTGATTTCATTAAGGCATCTTGTAAGTTATCTCAAATTGAACATATTCAAAAAAACATTTGGAAAATTAAATCCAATAATGCAAAAATAATATATGAACACAACTATAAAAGAGCAAAATGCTGTCTTGTCCATGAAGTTCATCACTCTAAAATTATTCCTTCATC